ATTTTGAACTTCTGTTTTGAAACACACGTATTGTGACAACCCTAAAACTTCTCAGTGTGGCATCCCTGTCGTGTTGTCTCATCATATAACACAATCAACTTGGGCTGATTTGTCGTTGGATCTGTTTTTGAGAAAACTGCTGAAACCGAAACGTTGACGCGATGGCTTCACCTTACTCGCCCAAAATGGAACAGAACTGATTCATCCATCAAGGGAGAGTCACTTAGTTTTAACTAATTATAAATAAGTATATTTTGTTTAATCATTTATTAAATTAAAATTATATACAGAAAGTAAATTGCATTTTATTTCCATCGGCTGGCTGTGGCCTTCGTAATTCCAGACTTTACAATTTGAATGAAGTTTTTAAACAAGATTTTCTATTTCCACTTTATTTGTTTTGCTAGTACTGCACTAATTGACTTGGGTAATATTCTGCTCTCATGTGGCGGTACCCGTGATCTGCACCGTGAGGCATTAATTAATTGTTTTATTAATTATTTATGGTACTGAATAATTGTAATAAAAACTAATTAATAAAGTTTTTTTACGATAGTTTTCAATTATACAAACTGGCCATTTATCGTGATAATAGAATTAGAATATATCACACTGACAGACACTCTATCGCATTTATTTTGAATAATTTTTCTTAAAAGGAATAATAACATTTAAATTTAAAAAAAATAGCTTTTTCTTTTTTAATTTTTTGGTTAACTTATTTATTGATCCTTTTTGATAGGTAGATATGTGTAGGCGAGAGTACTATGTCTCATCCAGTGTCAAATTAAGTTTATAGCCGCGTACAGCGCTCTGCGGGGACAGCTTCTAATCATTCTATTGGGTATAATTTATATACAGACAAGATAGAAGACGCTCTAATTAATAACTTACAAATATAATTGTTCCAGCGTGGGTGGGTCCTGTTATACTAAGCATAATACTAAGTACTGTTATTAAAATAGTTTGTTACTATGATGGTATCAGTGCCGGATTAAGATATTCGGCGCCTGTGTGGGAGCAGGGGATTATTAGTAATGGGGTCTGATCCCCATTACTGGCATAACTATGTACCATATCAGGTCGACCTTCACACGGTTGCCTCTGGAAAGCAGTCTGTTTTTAATTCTTGTTGAATCTCATACTCATTATTTATTTAATTCCATAATGCTCAATACAGTTACAGATGTTCATAATTTACTATATTGATCAAAATATTAATTGAGGAAGGGGGAAAAATTAGAAATTTTTTCTTTATTAGTAAACCAGAATCTTAAGCGGGTATTAACATGAATAATTTTAAGGTAAATAAAGATGTTTAACCCTCTCGTAAATTATCCATATTAGAATCTGTTTGACTATGTTAATAATAAGTATGTACAAAACGCCAAAGTTTGACAATAAGCTGAATCTTAATATTCTGAAATAAATAAACTTATCATGATAATTTCCAGGGTGAATCGCGTGGAGATCAACCTGACATTACTTTACTAACAATTTCAACCCCTCCCTCCCCCTCTCCTATTAGGGGACTATAACGCATACAAGAGGAGTGGTCCTAGAGAAGGAAATTATTATTAAAAAATCTTAAGATTCTGGTTTGCTAAACCAAAATCTTAAGATTCAGAAATAAATATAACGTCACCATCGTGTCGTGTCATCTCTGTTTCAATTTGTTACATATTTGTATTTGTGTGAATATCTTTATATTTATGATAGTGCACTGATTTTGTCACTACATACAAACATTCAAAATATTAGATAATATGTAAATGTGTCAATTTTTGTAGGTAACTTAAACAGACCAACTGCCAAAGTCCTAACTATTTGCTTCATAATTTAAAAGCATTCATTAAGTTAATTTGAATAAAGAATATATTTTCTAATTCAACTCTCAAAGGAATTATTTTCTGTATTACTCTAGAGAAACTTATAACAGAACACGTAAACAGTCTTACAAACCAAGGAAACTATAAGAAAGGAAATAATAATGTTGGGTATGAAAATAATACCGTTGAGCAACCTTTGAGCGTCAGATTTCAGATGCAGTCATTATTTTCGGTCCTAACAAGGCATTTGATCTGAGTGCCTACACTATATTATATTATATATGTACTTATATATATGGGTATTCCTACTAACTATATACAACAAAGTCGCTGTTTTCCTCTGTCTGTTACTTCGTATAAATAACCACCATGGACAAGGATGGATAGCTAACTAGCCTAAAACTTTTATATACTCATCATGTCGTCTACTACTGGTGCCTCGATTGCGTAAATGTCAACACAGGAATGGGATGTGATTGTTAGTAATGAGGACTAGTGAACCCATTGGTAGCAATATATTGTACGGTATATCAGTTCAACCTCCACGCGGTTCATCCTGGATAGCGTCATTGTCAATTTCTGCTGTGTTCGCCACGAAGAGCTAACCGACCTAACTATGCTTATCCTATCCTCATCTACTGATGCAGCAATTGGGGTAAGCAGATATACAATTCCGTTATTATCATTAAAGAACCGCCAACGCATGCCGGAGCATTATTAATCCAAGAAAAGAAATATACCTACTTTGGTACAGCAAATAGGTACTATATTTGTAGTCTGGTTGGCAAATAGTCAGCACTTGGTTTCTAAGTTATATCCGAGCAGTATGCATTGCTCGATGATGCCCCGTACAAAGGAGAAATACGTGTCGCAATATGGGTGTAGATTCAATAACGGCCAGAATTCGATTACTGATAGAGAAGATTTAAAAAAATTACAGATGTGGTTTATATTAAAATTTTATTACACAGTCGGTGACGCTACTGTAGGTAATTATAATATTAAAATGATTGAAAATGTAGAAAAGGAAGCTTCGTGACAGATAATCACAATTCTCACTTAGGCATTAAGTCTAGATTAGTTGCGCCCGCGTGAAATTTATAACCTACTAGATACTCGCCCCGACTTCGTACGAATGTACATGTATTATATATAAACCCTCCTATTGAATCACTCTATCTATAAAAAAACCCGCTTCAAAATCCGTTGCGTAGTTTTAAAGATTTAAGCATACATAGGGACAGACAGCGACAACGACTTTGTTTTATACTATGTAATTATGATGTGTTATACTGATGGACCTATAAGCTATAGATATTCTTGTAAAGTTTTATTACAATAGAAATATTACAAGTGTAGGCACGCGGTAGTTTTAACAAACATTCATCCATTCTCTCTCGACGTTTCGACTAGGTTGCACTAGCCGTGGTCACGAGCTGACTGGAGTAACAGCGATGTCAATGTAGATAGGTGACAGCAGTTTTTTCTTCATCTACCGTCACTAGATTATATAACGAAAGTTCGCGACACACAGCACTCACGGTATCTGTGCACTTATTGACTATTGATGCTACTGAACTTTGCTTGAATTTATTTATGACTGAATTCCACTTAGATGATAAGTTTTAGCCACCCTCTGTTGAAATTGGGATGTTTTTTATTTCAATCGCCTCCCGGACCATTCGTAGGTAATAGTGGCGATCAGTAGAGAGGACCTTAGGCGCATGTAGTTCAATCCAGTGATTTGTTCCAGCGTTCAGTAGATGATCGGCAATCGCTGATTTGTGTGGTTGTCGATTTTTAACCGCTGCGATGTGCTCTTTGACCCTCTCGGCTATTGGTCGTTTTTTTGGTCAATATAAGAGCTACCTCAACTACAGTCAATTTTGTAGACACCTGGAGCTTCGTAAGATACCTTATTCTTTGGTGAAATATTTTACGGAAAAAAATACCTTTATTTGCCATAAAATTATTCGTGTTAATAATTTAAATAATGTATATTAAACACGAAAGTTTGAAAGTAACTATTCATACATCCACTGTCACAAACTTTCACGTTTGTACCTATTATCAGTAAGAAGTAAGATAGATATTATACCTTATCTACACGCTGTACTGATCCGTAAAGGGTGGTTTTAAAGAAAATCTATATATGTATGTATGTTATTATTTTTTAGTAGATTTTCTTTAAACATATCTACGCAGATAGGTACTAGACTTTCTAAGACAGTTTGTTCATCTGTATCTGTGTATGTGTTAGCATTATTTCTCTAAAATAAAACTAGTAGACTAATTAAGATCAAAATTTTACAGGTTTTATTAAAACAATGTTATTCTTGAAATACTATGGTGAATACATTCTCAAAACTTTATTTGAATTTCTGAAATCTTATTGCACAATACTGATACAAATATAATTATTATAATATTTATATAACTACCGCAAAATAACAACTAATTCGATTAAATATAATTATTTATAATAAAAATCACAACAGCCGTGTTTCCAAGTAAACTCCTGCTACTATCATAGACTAAATTAGAAATGCCAGTTTACTTTGTTAGACTATAGTACGCTGGCGCCCTCTGTAGTTACAAATATCTGCCTTCTATAACGTCGACTTGTTTTCTTTCTGCAGTGTACACTCGTCATGAATAATGTCATATATAAGGATATATAGTTTGTGGCCTCGTCCCTTATAATTGAGAGGAAGTGGTTTCTATAGAAGACATTCTAATAAAATAGGAACTAAACTAAGTAATTACCTCTACTCAATGGATAACGATTATCGATTGAATCGTTTCATTATAGTTCATGAGATCAATTGATGAGAATTTTTGTATTGAATAGAATCGATATATTTATAATTACATAATTTTTCTAAAGTTATTTTACGTATATTATGTTATTTTACGTTTATTTCAACGTTTACGTCACTATTACTTAATCTAGTCTTTACGCTTAGCGCAGTCATACACAAACACACACTTACCAATTATTTACAATTTTCTGACTTCAGTCATAATCAACTTAGTTACATTCAAATCGAATTTAATGATGTCAAATTCTATTCACATATCATTCAGTTGCATCGTTCCTTGTCTTTGATTTCATTCAACCGAGTCATTCGTTTAAGACAATCATTCACTTTGTCGTTCTATATCAATCAGTTCACCGTGAATGCGAATCGTGGAATGCAAACATGTCCGCCGTGTGTGTTATTTGACGTAAATATTGGCGAAAATATTGTTCTGTTCCAGTCTAAATAGTGATTTTTTGGTGCTATTGCAGTTTTATCATGTTTGTGGTCGTGCTATAATTGTTTCACATGCGGCTGTTATACAAAAGTGGTCCGATGGAGTCTCTCAGAAAATGGTTTTATAAACCAAAGGTATGTCAAAACAATTTTCTATCGCAATTTCCTTTGTGGCACATTTAGAACATTTTTTTGTTGTAAAACTCACTGTCTTACTGTTATTTCTTTGTCTTTATATTAGGTTATGCGGATATAACATTCCTTAATATTTATTTTCTTGTGTAGATTAGGTGCTTCTTTGTTGGTCCATATTGGAATGATTAAGACAGTTTCTATTGAATTTCTTTAATTATATTACTCATTTTATGTACTGTTTATTAGACATGCGCGTAGTTTCATGTAATAGCCTAGAATTAAACTAAAAATCTAGAATTTGTTACTAGTTTAATTGTATGAACTTACGTCATTCCTTTTTAATGTGTGCAAGTGGTTTATACTTACTTACAAATCATGCAAATGCATTGTAAATTTATGTATTTAATACGTATATATTATACATCTAGAAGTGCATTGGAATCCTTGTACATTTAAACATTTTTGTTTATTTGGAAATAACAGAGATGGAAAAATATTAAATTTGATGTAGTGTAGTCAAGGACACTACCATATTTACTATTCATTCGTAAATTCATACAATTCTAATAACACAACCCACACATTTGCGTCATAAATACTAATACCAATTTTATAAATACACATCAGTAATAGACAAAGAAGTAATTTTTATGTGTCATTATTTATCATGTATCAACTGTTGACATGTCTTAAATCTTCCCTAGAGAGAAAGTGTATGATATCTAAGAAGGGTATATTAAGTCTTCCTAAGGGTTGATTATCCACAAATTATACTCCAGGTGTTTTTAGTTATTTTTTACCTGTGGTAACCATTAACATCAGATGCTTCTTTGCCACAACTGTGGTATAAAAAAATCTAGTAATATTATAAAGACCAAAAGATTGTTATGAGGAAAGTAAACTGGGAAACCATGGAGATTTTTAAGTCTATACTATATATATACTATATATACTAAGTTTTAATATACACAACTCACAAAGTTCAACACACTGTGAAATTTAATTAGGGTAAATTCAGAGTTTTCTGAATTCATTAGTAATTATTTAAAATTAAAATTTAATTAATTACTAGTGCATAATATTGTGTTTTATAACATATAACAATTCTAAAATTTATAGCCATATGCCGAGTGTCGACTCAATTCTCTTACTTGCTACTATTTATACTGCTATCTATTCCATATAATATATTTTACTATAATTTATATATAAAATATATATATATATATATATTAGATGAATAGGGTGAGGGTATTATGCTTCCATATTGCTATATCTCTTCACACTGAAACATAGCATGTAAAGCCATAGAATTGTTTGTTGTGTTTAATTATTATATGCATATAGGTAATTGTGTAAAGTCAACCTCTGACTGTTTACTAATAGCAATAAAAATAACTTTGTTATTGCTTGTTTATTATGTCTAAATCTTTGCTTCCATGTTTACATGCTTATTTATATTTTCAATACTTCAATGATAGATAACAGGCCATCTTATTACTAATAAATATTTGAATACATTATCAGCACCCTATTTAATATATCTCAAATGTAATTGGTCTGGGTTCTAATTCCTGGTTGTTATTATTCTTTATCTAAAATTACCAAATAGTCTGTTATTTTTATTGCTTTATGCACAGCGATCCTATTTATGAATATAAGTGAAGCAAAATTTTATATAAAATATGAATATTATTTATTCTACACTATTCACATTCCTACAATCATATTTTCTGATTGATACCATGTCTCATTCTATACAAAAGGTAGTGAAAGAATAATCTTTACAGTGCATATTGCAATCTCTGGTAGTTTTACCTTCAGATTAATGTTGTTTAAGTTAGCTAGGTGTTACGCTGTAGAGTTACTTTAGGTCTTGCCATGGATTTAGAGTGCTGTCTGCTGTCGCCCCCATTTTTGTCTGGTGAATCTGCAAATGTAATTTGCAGCATAGACAAGTTTGAAAAAAAGATTTTTATCATAAATAACATTTTTATTGTTTTGTTGAGAGCTTGTAGGTATGGTTATAGGTAATCTTTGCTTTACTTTGTAAGATAATTATGACAGCAGTTTACTTGGAGCTCCTAATAATGTTAACTGATAACATTATCAATGATAATATTGAATAGACTGTAAGTCAGTTTATTTCCACTTTAACATAAATGTCAGTAACTATATTTAGTATTATTGTTTATAATGCGTAACCAAACTGCGCGTTGCATTTCATTTTACGATTTTATAACAAACATATCGATACTTTGTTAGAATCTTATCGGTTTGTGTTTTATATCCTTGTTGGTCGCGTATGATAGTGATTACTTGTCTTGTTCGCGCACTTTCACTTTTTTTTTCACCGCTTTCCCAATAGCACAAGAAACTCGGTCGCACTGCCAAATGTTTTGCGAACGCCATTCAATAAACTTATTTGTTAACTTTTTTAACATCTTTCGTCATTCTATTGTTTTAGAATTTTTAGGCTTCCATGATATCTTAATCATCAATTAAATATACTTTAATGTAATCTGTTCTAAGAATTTAATTAGATGCGTAGTATTTTATCTCAAGCCAAGTTTTATGTAACATAACAGATGTGTAATAATTTCTATTGAGAGAGATAATTAATCTTGATTTAAATAACTCAATGTAAGCAATTTTGTATTGTCATTGTTTTTATTCTACCGTCTAAAAAGAATGGACGATAAAATTGCTTGCTACTCTATAAATAAATCTTTACAAATAATTACCAAGTTTACATTTTCAAGATTTTGTTTGAAATAAAGACTACCGTGTAGTACTTTTGAAAGATTATGAATAATTTATTATAATATATTGACAAATACATATATTTTTTAGCGTTAGTATATATTTTTTTTGCCTATAAGTATATAAAAGTAAAAAAAAAAATACATAGAGGTCTTATATTAATCTTAAGGCCGTTGTCTAAAAAAGTTAATTTATTATTGTTTCATATATGTATTACCAGAGCGCGCGCCAGTCCGTCTCACACTTGCGTGGTTTCTTACACTATTGTTCGCCAGTTTAGTTCCGTTATTGTGGCTCGGTAACAGAAGTTTATTATATCATCACGAATTTCTTTATTATTACAAATATAATATAACATGTCATGTTTGTATTCCTTTTATAGCTGCTTTAAGTAAACTAATGCAGGGTTGTCAAATGTACGGGCCGTACTTTATATATCTGCGGCCCGCTGTAAGTGACTTGATCTACAGAAACTTATCGAGGTAGACTATCTAAAAAGTCTTCTACGTACCTCAAACCCAACTGTTTCGCCACTAAACAGCTTGCTCCGTGAAAGATTTTTATGAAATAACGGTTCAGTACTGTATCCAGAGATCGTCTTGTACTCCACAATGTGTGGTTAGGTGGGGAAATTAGTGAGTAATAGGCATTAGCGGCCTCACTAGCAATATACAATGTCATATACAGCGATGGTTTACGGGTCCCCTGGAAACGATCGCTGTATATTCCTGATAAATTTGCCACAATGGGCTTAACTGGCCTGACTTCATGCTCATCCTATCATCCTCCACTGGTGCCCTACCAATACAATAAACATAGGACGGTGCAACATTACATTATCATTCATAAGAAAAAACTATTCAAAGTCACGATATTCGTACTCTCTCCTCTTATAATAGTAGTGGGTAATAAAGATAAATGACAAAGGATTGTGCTTGTGTGTTATATTTATGTGGAAAAATTGAGTTGCTACAATTTTTGTTTGCAATCAAACAATACTTAAACACAATGTACTTTGTTCGTATAACTATTCATTAGTGCAACTGCTTTAAACATAATGTCAACAAAGGTCTGTGTGACACTAATATAATGACCATTATGTTATCAGTGCTAAGTGTATGTTTACATACTGTTGTACATACACTACGTGATTTATATTGCATCTAGAAGTTTTTTTGACAAAAGGCAACTATGTAATACTCGTAATTTACAAAATGTCAAACGCCATTCTGAAGTGAACTCTCTGATTTGAAGCTAAATCAAACGTAAGATACTGAAGAGTATATTTGGTTCCACAAATTTGTTTTAATATTTTGTATGAAACACGAATAGATTTGCTATAATGCATAAAACATATTGATTGGTTGGACGCTTGTTTGTGATTATGTATATCAAATATTTTTAATTAATTAGTACATGTCAAAATTATCATTTTCAATCAGTTTAATTAATCTGAAACAATCAGTTTAATTAACCTAAAAAATAACTATGATATTTCGTGTGAAATGACTTCATGAATCAAAAGATCAAATCAAAAGAGAAAGAAGAAAAATGAATGACAAATCAAAATGTTTTTGAAGCCTTTTATGGCCAAAGACATTTATCATAGTTATTATTTTTCTAAAGTAACAATATGAGTATTATACAAATACCATATATATTATTAGTATGAGATTGCTATGTGCAAAAGATTGCTATTCACACGGTACTAAAATAGGTAGGTACAATGAATCTTAAGTAATTCTCCATAAAGTCTAAAGTAGTTTGATCAGGTATGCAATTATACGCACTAGATTTCGCAGATAATTGTTATTTTATGTCAATGTAATAAGGTCTAGTTTAATCGAGTTGCATTGAAGTCAGAATGGTTTTCTGTTGGAGCGTGAAGAATTCAGGTGGTTTTGGGTACAGTCAACCCGGGTGAGTGAACAGGCATTCTAAACGTTCCATTGGGTCATTAGTACAGCAATCTGTGTTGTGCTCTGTTCATAATTAGTACAACGTTCAGTCGACCGGTTAATCACCGCTTTTGACAATTAGGTTCCGTTAAATACTGATAACATATTTAATAATCAGTGTACGTAAATAACAAATAGAAATGTTTTGAAATTGTATTAACATTATAATTAGTAATAGGGTTGTCATTATTACTTTCTAATAATATTATTAAAACAAATGTTTGTCTATACTGATATTGTGTATAGACAAACACAAATTCCAACGTGCAGAAGTAACAA